GTTTGTGTATATCAAATGAACTAAAAGCAATAATGTCTCTCAGTGGTGTGTGATCTGCAGTAAAGTACTGTGGTTCTCAACATGGTGACTGGCCTTGACCAAAATGCAGTAATTTTGGTTACAGTGAATAGTTTTTCAATACATATGGAACTTAATTATCATCCAAATGCAATTCTAGTGCTCCCACAATACTATGAAATGACTAAATTAGTTCAGCATGTTTAATGTCAGTAATATTTCAATAATTTAATTATTTTAAAATGTGAAATGCCTATTGAAAATCTGCTGTTGAATGTACCTCAAAAAGTAGTTGTGTTTGTGTTTAGTAGGATTTCTTAAAATAGAAATGTTTAAAAACACCATCGAAAAACTCAACAACTCCTAGTTTCTAAATGGAGATAGATCTTTCAACGATTTTGTCATGCTTGGTAGAGTAGTGATTATTTGCACATTAATTGATGAATGTGAACCCATAAAGTTTGGTCAGCACTTGATTCCACTATAAATAGAAACAATATTTCAGAACACCTTTTAGGTAAAAATCAGCACGATACAAATGTTACTTTGTATCTTTTTTATTTTTAGGTGAGAATCACATGATTACTTACCTGACTGGATTGTCTAATACAAGACAATCAACAATCAACCTCAGTAACAATATAGAAACTTGAATCTCTGTCATGTGATAAAGCTGCTGAAAGAAGACTTAGCTGGCAATGCTCTGATTTTTTATAGGAACATATAAGGAATACAGCTGCACTGAAATATAAAAAACAAATTAATTCTGGAGAGGTTCTCAGATAAACCCAATACAAACCCCACGGGTGTCTGCAGTAAAACCCCACTGAGTGTGATGAATGGGCCCACCATAAAATTGTCACTTTCTTTGAAGTGGCTCCAGTGTCATGTGAGCTCAAGCACAGGAATCCCATTATCTTCGCACTAGGAGGAACTAATAGCAATGTTTTTCTTTTGTCATATGTGTTCAATAATGTGCTTCTTAACACCACATTAGGAAGATAACTTGAGACAGAAGTAGAGTAAGCTGACATTGTGCAGTCCTTCTGAGTACAGAGGGAACTCAAGCCATTCCTTGATACTTCCTTGACAGAAAATCATTATTTGTTTTGAATCTGTAGGAGCAGCTGTCTGTTAGTTGTCTGTCATGGACAAATGGGATGGAAGATGTTGATATCAAATTTGTTTCTGAGTGAGTCTGAACCCTGGATCTTGGCTCCAGTTGGGAGCTCAGTTGTGTGCTCTTTAACCTTTTAATGAGTTGAAGTCCTACTGAATGAATACAGTAAAATAAATGGAATGTAAATGCATGCATAAAGCTACAGTTGTGCTTAGAGGGATGACCTGTGTGTTTAACATGAAGCACCCAATTTATTCCTTTATTAATGTGGTTAAAGGTAATGGCACCTGTTACCCTCGTGCCATAAATAAAACCAGCACCATGAAAATGGTACAAAAAATTGAATTGATATCAATGAGATAAGGTTTTGTTTCCCAAAAGAGAACTTGCATGAATATTGGAGAAAGCCACTTCTGCTAGCTTTCCAGCTTTGCCTAGTGCTGCAAGCACCCGAATTTCCATTTTGGTTTGCAGAGTTCCCTCCATCAAAATAAGAAAACTTCTATTGAAATAATAAGAAAAAAACCTGTGAGTTACTTTAGGTTATTGTACATTTGACTGCCTGGAAGAAGTTTCTCTCTGCTACAATGCATGCCCACTTTCCAGCTGTATCTACTGGTGTAATGAGTGATATTACAAAATTTATTGAAGGTTTGGTTCCTAATGCTAGGTGTTTAAATTCAGGTAGTATTTGTTCCTTGGTTGTTGCTTTGTTTCTTTTTAAAATTTGACTGACAATCAGGCCTTCAAACATGATCACTTCCAGGGCTCCATTTGAACCCGGTTTTCATTTAATGTGCAAGTACACATACTTATTTAAAGGCTACTTACTGCAGGTAGTTTTGGTGGCAGATATGCTTGTCTCTTCATGGGACTACACATGTTGTGATGTGCAAATCTGGAATTATCCCTGGAATTATCAAGTGCCTTGAGCTGCATAAATGTGTGAAAAGAGTGTTTTTTCCTGCCAGACCCACTTCTCAGTAGAGGGCGTTTGTGAGATGTGTGGAGCTCCTCATTCCTACATGAACTGATTATGAATTCCTACACTTGGGAATTACTGATGAAGTTTTCCCTCTCACATTTCCAAGTTGTTGTGGTTTCTCCCCTATGGTGTTGCACTCCATCTGTGGTGGCTGATTATGCCTGTTTCTTTCCCACTGGGGAGATTCACCTGTGGCACTCTCCCTCACTCTTGTGCCAAGTACTGTGTCAGAGCTCCACAATTAAATTGTCTCTAGGCTGTAATCTGAAATGGCATCTAGGCATGGGTGGACTCTTGTTTGAAAAGAGAATGATGAACAGTTTGTATATGGAGATCTGAATTCTGACTGGTTTATGTCAGGGTCTGTGGGTCTTCCCCACACACGCCTTTTTGCCTCTGCAGGAAATCATATTCATACTGGTTGAATATGATAGCTGGTTGAATTATATTTATACTGCAGTAGAAGCATTATCTGACTGTCTGTCTTCCCTGAGCTGGAGCCACTCACTTTCTTCAAAGCTTATTTCCTTGCTGTTAGAGTTCTAAAAAACATGGAGTAGATAAAATCAAGTACTGATAAAAATCAGGAATATGTTTCCACTGAAAATGTTTCTGATTTTTCAACCTTAGGAATTCTACCCTGTGGACTAAAGGACAGATAAAATTAAATAGGATAGAAGAAATTCTCCTGGAAGGCAGCAGTAGGAGTGGTAGTGTTGTGAAACAAAAAGCAAGGAGTCTCACCTCTCTCCATGCAAACTGCACCAAGTTTATATCAATAGAAGTTTCTAAAGGGTTCTTTTGTTGATATTCATGCAAAAGGCTCAGCTACCTCTTGTCCCAAGAAAATCAACATTAAAGACAAGTTGAATTTAAACTATTCTTCCAGTGGGAATCATATTGTCTGTTGATACATAAACCCATTTTCGAACAAATTAGCAAAAGAACCATACTCCCAGTGTTAAACTCACAGTGTTAAAGACCTATATTGGATCCAGCCAATGGGAACCAAAAAGAGGGATTTGGACTGTTAACAGAAACATGGCTACAGTTGATCTTAGAAAATTTCACGTATGCTCAACAAAATAGAGGGTCACAGTGATTTATATAAATATGTAAGCCATCAGTAAGGCTGCCTCAGAGGGGACATAGCTGAATTTAAAGCTGTGTGGAAGGAACTTGATCAGTAACAAGAATCACCTCCAGAGGAGCTCCGTGATGTTTCTGATGAGCTGCTTGGTGGTAAATGTGAAGCATCTAGCCTGATCCTTTCTGAGGCCTAGCACTGGTTGGGTTCAAACAAATTACTCAACATTATATGAATCAGTAATTTATGCAACTTTAACACATTTATGTGTTCAGGGATGTGAGAAGAGTCACAACGATCAATGAACAGATATAGAGAAGTGTAACTTTAAAGAAACATTCTTTAATTCTTTTTTAAAATAAAATCTAAGTAAAACTTTATTTAAGAAGAAATCACTGATTTAATTCCTACACTAGACAGCATGCCATGGACAGGCCATGCACATCTGACATGCTTTGCTTCTGATATATCAGTGCTCAGATTCTCCATAGACCTGTCATAAACTCATAGAGCTTCAAGAGAATTGCTGTAGTAATATGCACAAGCTAGTTCTCTACAAGCTCATGAATCCTCTCTTTTGAGAAAAAGAAAGACAGGAATCGGTCTGCAGAGCATGTTACTAGACAATGCTCGTATTCTTCTACCTTAACATTTTATCTTGGAAACTTCAGTCCAACGGGTCTGATTGTCTTCCAGCATATTTACACGACTACCTACATTCATGGCTTCTGCTGGAAATAGATGGAGCTGTTTGGAAAGCCTATACATGTGCAGACACTCGGAAGTAAAAGACAATACCTCACTGAAAATCAAGAAGCATTACAGACAAATTCTACTCTTCAAAGAGGGAAACAAAATTCATTCTCCACTCTGTTATACCATTTGCAGAGTAAGTAATAGATAAAACACATCACCTGTCCCCCTTTCCATAGTCAAGACCACTGTGAAATGCAGCTTCACAAATCAAACCTTAAAACTTTAAACACAGCTGATGTCTTTGAGTAAGATCTATGCACACCCCACAGCTGGACGTCAGGAATAAAATCTCTTCATTCTCACGCCCCTCGCTCCCTGCCACCCTGCGTTTCAAAGCACCGTGGTTTCACCTGAGTAAGACGCTGGAAGACGAGTTTCCGGAGGCGATCCTGCGTTCTGTCCGACGTGTCGGACAGCTCTCCGGTTTGCCGGGCAGAGCCTGGCTGGGGCTGTTTGCGGTGGGCAGCGGCGCGGAGAGCGGCTTCCCTCTCCGCTCCCGCTCACCACGTCGTGCCCATCGCGCTCAGGGGCTGGGACCCGCGGGACGGCGGCGGCTCCGGGATCCGCCTCTGCCTCCCCCGCAAGATCCCCCTCGGCGCCGCGGGGCTGGGGCGAGGGCGGGGCGGGGCGGCCCCTCGCCGTACCAGGTATAAGCCGGGGCTGCCGAGTGAGTGGGGAGCGGGCTCGCTCTGCTCCTCTCCCCCGGCAGCACCGGCAGCACCGGCGGCGCTGGACAGCGCTGGCGGCTCCGCGGGGGCGGCGCGGCGGCCGGAGCGCGCATTGGCCGCGGTGGCGCACCGAGGGCACTCCCGGGGGCGCGGGCAGGGGGCGGCTGTCCCGACGGCGTGCTCTGCCCCCAGGCTCAGGATCTCCTGCCCACCGGGAGAGGCTCGTCCGAAGAGCCGAGGGACAGCGCACGGGAGTTTTTATTTCGCTCCCCGGCCACTGCACCGGCAGACATTCCTCTGCATTTCTTAAGGGAGAAAACTCGCCAGAGAAGGGGGATAGGAGGAAAGGCAGTAGAGGAGGGGGAGAAAGTTGATTGACTTGCACAGAGGTGAAGCTTTGCTGTGGCTCCCGCTGCACTTTGCACTGGCGACCTTCAGTCCGCGCGAAGCTGTAGGATGGAGCCAGAGCCCCCGCCCGAGCTCACAGCAATGCCCCTCGGGGAGAATGGGAGTGTGCGCCTGGTGCCCGACACAGCCCTGCTGTCCCCGGGGAGAGGCACGGCCGTGTTCATCATCCGCTGCGTGATCCCTTCGCTTTACCTGCTCATCATCACTGTCGGCTTGCTGGGCAACATCACCCTCATGAAGATCTTCATTTCCAACAGCGCCATGAGAAGTGTGCCTAACATCTTCATCTCCAGCCTCGCTGCTGGTGATCTGCTCCTGCTAGTGACCTGTGTGCCCGTGGATGCCTCCCGGTATTTCTCTGAAGAGTGGCTCTTTGGAGAAGTGGGCTGCAAGCTCATCCCTGTCATCCAGCTGACCTCTGTTGGTGTCTCTGTCTTCACCCTCACTGCCCTCAGTGCTGACAGGTAGGAAAGCTGGGCTGCCTTCAGCTCTCTGCAACTTGGGCTAAGGCTGATGAAAGGTAAAGCACCTCTCTAGATAAGACATCCCTGATTTGCAATCCCCTCATTCCAACCTGTGAGGTGCTTCTTCTTCTCTAGGTGGTACTAATTGAAGTTAAAGAATATCTGGAAATGGCTGTGCCTGGCCCCCAGCTTCCAGGATGTCAGCTGCAAGAATTGAGTTTAGCCCTGTCTTCTGCACCTCTGGGATGGTTTTGCAACAGTCCATATATTGGAATTTTATTCATTAGAGTAAGGTTTTAGATGCCAGATATCACCCTTGCCGAGTCAGCGTTGTGTCTACGGGCAGTGAGTGATTTAAACCAAGTCAGGCACAAATGTATTTTTAATCAGTTTGTTTCTTTCTGCTAAGAAGCTGTACTCATGTGTGCCTGTATGTGTGTCTGTGCCTTAGTAGAAGAGCAGGTTACCACAGGTGACTGCCAGAACTAGCTTAGCTTCTGGGAATTCAGGGACACCAAATTGCTCTGTTTTAAATGTCAATCTTAAACCTTTGTTCAAACTATTCTTATTATCTTCTGAACTTTTAGAAAAGAAGAAAAAAAATTAAAAGGAAATACCCCCAAACAAACTAGAAAGTGACACTTTTGTCTCAAGTGCTTGTCAAATTAGGAAAAAACAAAAAGCTGGATCCCCAGTTTTTCCTCCCAATTACTGTGAATGGGTACTTAAGGAATTTAGAGCAACTGAGTGGCTGTAGAACTATGCTTCAGGCTCTGAAAGTGTAATTGCTAACTTAAATTATATGAAATTATCTTTATTTTTTTATCTGAACAATTTTTTTGGGCCAGAAATGAAAACGTTTAATTCCTTCTCCATAAACATTCATCCATTTTCTTTTGTTGGGTTTTGAACTGAGCCACTGCATTATATTGGTGTGTGATGTGAAGAGTTGAGTTTAGAAATACATCTTCACACTTTGAGTAATGTTTAGGATGTTCATGTTTAAAACTTTTATCCTTTATTTTTTCTTTATTTTTTCTTTTTTTTTTTTTTTTAGCTAATTCAGTCCATTGTTTGATTTCACTTGAGGATAGTTTTCAGTGAACATTCATTTCAGCTATGTTTGAATCAGGACCTAACATATTTGTCTATAAAGACTGTAACTTGTGAAAATGGATCATGGTTTTGAAGAAGAGATTGCAAAATATATCTTAAAGGGAACACCTGTAGCTCTTTGATTACCTCAGTTAAACAGTATTTCAAAATCTGTCCTTACAGATCTAAGGAAACCCTGCAGTTCTCTTTCTGCTCTATTTCCACTCCTTAATATCTTGTGCTGTACATCTTGTTTGAAAAGGGAAGAAGTTAGTGGACATCATTTCTCGAGAGAAATGTAACATGAGGGAATGCTGCTGATTTAATGTTTAAGGATTCATTAATTTGCTTTTCATGTAGCTTTGGAACATTCACTGTTTGATTTTTTTCCCAGATAATTTTATATCCCTCTTTTTATATCAGCAAAGAGTCAAGAATTTATAATACTGACTGTTTATGCTTAATGCATCTAGAATTGCACATACTAAAAAACAGTTACAGTTTGAGTGCTGAGACCAAATAAGCTCATAATAAATACATTTCTCCAGCATTTTGGACCCCACAGTATATGTCAATGTCAGAAATGGTTATACTAGGAATTTACAACATTTCTTTAACTTTTGGAGTTTTATTTTAGGTCACTGAGAACAAAAACCTTTTATTTTCCAGTCAGAAGATCTTCCACTGACTTCGGAGACCAGTCTCCTAGGGCCCAGGAAACTGCTGAGTGAAGCTGGCTGAGCTTTCAGCTGTGTCTGGGTTGGAGTCAAATCTACACTTTGTACAACACTTGGTACAACACTTGTGTTGGACTAGAGGGGAGGCACTGGTGTGGCACTGTGACACCAATCTATAGCCAGATTCTAATGTGTGTCGTCACTAGATCAGTTGTGGGTGATTATGCTGGCAGATCAGAAGCGTTGGCAGCATCCTGCACACAAGAGGTGCCGAAGAGGTGAGGCCTGGCTATGGGCAGTGTTTTCTCCCACTTTCTCCTACATTTAGGGTAGGATGTTAGCAGTTTGTAAGCAGTGATGCCACCAAGAAGGCTCCATTACAATCCAGTATTTGGTCTGGTACACAATGTATTCTTAGTGGCCCCTTCTTTCACAGATAATGTTCAAAGTACATTTTAATTAAAGCCCTTCATGCTTTTTGCTCCTTGTAACCATGAGACTGTATAGAATGCCAGAGACTGATTACACTACAAAACAGATTTAGGAATACTTAGGATTCTCTGGAACATGCTTGTGTAAATTAGGATGAGAGAGGTTGTCTTGGTTTCCACAGTCAAATTAATACTTATTGTTTATGTGGAAATTCTGCATAATGATTTCCTTGTGTGTGACACATTTAACAGACGTAGCTACAGAAGCAACAAACTCTGAATGATTGTTGCTAACAAACTGAAGGAAGAAAAATTACATACTACAACTTATAGTTGCATATGTAGATATTTTGTAAAGTTGCTTAATTTCATACAGATTTTTTTTGTCACAGAAGACGTTTTCAGCATCAGCAATGCTTTCGGTGTGAAAAACATGCACCTTTTATTTGGAAGCTTCATTATCTTGTATTGAGGTTATTTGAGTTTTAATTCAGGGGTTTTTATGTGTGTGTACAAATGTAATATGTGATTTTTAACACTTTCCAGACTTCCCTTCCATGCAGATGAGATTTAGCAGCGTATCTGCCTGAGGTTGCCCATCCCCATCACAGGAATAGCAGCTGGTTCTTCCCAGCCCTGAGCTCCTGGAGGTGTGGCTGCCAGCTGTGGGGAGAGGTGCCCTGCTGCAGCCCCACACTGTTGGGGCAGAGAGGGATGCAGGTCAGTGGTGCAGGTGGGGATGGTGGCAGCAGAGATGATGCAGTGGTGGCACTGGTGGTACAGGGGTTTGGTGTCAGAGCAGGTTGCAGTCTCCCTCTCCTATGGGATGGAGAAGGCAGCACAGGAGATGTGCTGCTGAGCCAGTTGTCCCTTCTCACTGCCATGCAGGGTATGTAGGGACAGCAACCCTGCCCCTCATGGCCACCGCGTTTTCTCTATTGTGCAGAAACCAGACCACCTCTACAGACCTTAATATTTCTCTTGTTTATAAAACCAAAGGAAAAAGAGAGGGTGGGCAACAGAAAGAGAAAACTTAATAGACTGGATGACAAATGAGGAAGAGGGCTGAAAGACAAAAATGTACCAAAAAAAAGAGGGGAGCTAAGGGGAGTGTAAGACAGAACACTCCTAATGGCATTCAGCACATCCTAAAAGTGCTCAGAGCTGGTGCACAGTAACCAGGGATGCACTTCCTAAAGATGTGGTGGGACAAGAATTGACAAATGGGGCCTTGATGAGCTTGTTTCTCCAGGGCCCATGGACTGCAGTTTTGGCAAGGGCTAATGGGTGTTGGTGAGAACGTCTCAGGAATTGGTGTGGTCTTTGATAAGGAGGATAAAAGTAAAGAAGTGAGAAATGTTTGCCAGAGGGACTGCAGCGTGGCACACATAAAGAAAATATGTGCCAGCATCTCCTCACTGCAAAAAGGGCATAAGCCAGGGATGAACCTGACTTGAACCATCCAATGAACTTGCTTACTGCTGCACAAAATGTTTTTCAAATTTGTGTCCATGATGGATCATACATTTAGCTCAGAAGGCAAATCGGGCCCCTAGGGATCCTTATCTTATTCTCAGGGAGAGGGATCTTGCTGTTTTGTGCATGGGAAGGAATCTAGGTAGGGTAAGAACTGAAGCAGGGTGGTATGGAAAGGTGTTTCCAGGATGCTTTTCAGATGGCATTTTAACCTTGGTGTGGACAGCTTTCGGTGCAGTGAATTAAGACTGGGTGCTACAATGTGCACCTCTGGCATTACTGCTTTATTGTGTGGTACCCACAAAATGCCAAGGCATCTGCAGTGAATAGCCTTTGGAGGAATAAACGGCAGCCCCTGCAACCAGCTTTAATTTGTCCCACATAGTCTTTTCTTTTCTCTTTAGCTGTCATTTATGCCTCATTTTTAAGTGATCTGTAAAAATAGGATTAAATTTAATTCTGTTTCTTTTCCTACACTGAATTTTATTTCTAATGAAAAATTTAAATATATTAGATCTAATGCAGTTCTGCTGCACTCTAATAGAGACAGCAAAGCTGAACTCACCCTACTACAATTGGAATAGCATTGTATTTTCTTTCTTCTTAAGTAATGCGACATAGACACCTTTGATGAGACAAATAAGTGATTAACATGTAACAGTTTGAAAATTTAAATTCATACTTAAGTAGCTAAATATAGTGCCTGAGATGCTTAAAATGTATTCTATAGATTTTCATAGCTAAACTATTTGTTCCGTTCCATCTATTTTTTTCTTTATATTTGTTTTGTTTTTGATTTGGGAGACTGCACTCTGTATCTAAAAAAAAATAAAAAATGTTTTTTGCAAATTTGCACTCTGTGCTGACTTCTGATGACATCTGATAGCAAAATCTGGTTTGGTTCAGTTTGCTAGTCTATAATCTCATTTTCTTTGGGAACTTTGGAAATATTCTGAAGTGTGAAAAGCTGCCCTACTACCTTCTGCCAAACACCTTCTTTGGTTTTTTCATTAGTAATATCACTTTAATGAAAACTTCTTTTTACTTTTCTCACACTTTATTTTTAGTTTCTTCTTTTATTATGGCAGATGCTGATTCAGGCTGAAATACAGTGATTGAAAAATATAAAATCCTCATTTCTTATTACATGTAGTGAAGCAGGTGAAGCAGGACAGTGGACGTGATTTCCTTTTGAGCTCTAATAGCTGATAGTCAGGAACTAAGGACTCCTTATGAATAAAATAGTATTGAATGACATATTGAAAATTACTTACAATTAATCAAATAAAAAAATAATCAAAGGTAAAATGGAAGATTATAA